AGTCTTTTATCTTAAAATGCTTAATTTTAGGTTAAAATGAATTTCTCCTCATCCTATGAGGAAAGTGTTATTTTTATATCCATGTTTCACAGATAAGGAGAGCAGGGCACAGCAAGGTAAATTACAATGCTAGGATCACACAACCATTTGGTAGAGCCAGAATGTGAACCCAGGATGCCTTGCTCCAGAACCTGTGCTTTTAACCACAATCGTATACTGCTTCTTAAAAATCTTTCCGCATTTATACAGTAAACTCCATAAAGCAGGGATTTGAATCCATTCCAGGCCCAGAGAAAATCTGATAGTTATATGGTAAGTGAATGAATGAACAAGCAAAAAATGAACCAACTTTGTACCAAAATTGTTATAGATTAAATGTGTCCCCCTAGAATTTATATGTGCCCCAATAAAAGAGATCCCAGAAAGCTCCCTCTCCCTTTCCACCATCTGAGGTTTTAGCAGGAAGCCATCTAGGAACCAGGAATAGGACCCTCATCAGACATCAGATCTGCTGGTGCCTTGATCTTGGGCTTCTCAGCCCCTAGAACTATAAGAAATAAATTTGTTATTTATAAGCCACTCAGTCTACAGTATTCTGTTATAGCAGCCCAAACAAAAAAAAATATCCTGGCAGTTAGAAACTTTTATGTTTTCTGCTTGGCTCTCACTGGTGTTTCAGAGAGGGGAGATTTGATATTAAGTAAGGCCCTGTGCTAGGCACTGCAGATAGGTAAGATGAATATAGTTGAGTCCAGGATCAGTGAACTATTAAAAAATTGGTACTTACTTAAACTGCAGTGAATTATAAGTAGCCTTAAGTGGAAACAGGCCTATAAATCTCACTGTTTTATAAGGCATTTCCCCCCAGTAAAATGGGGATGATGGTTTTTTGTTTTTTGTTTTTTGTTTTTTTGCAGTACGCGGGCCTCTCACTGTTGTGGCCTCTCCCGTTGCGGAGCACAGGCTCCGGATGCGCAGGTTCAGCGGCCATGGCTCAGGGGCCTAGCCGCTCCCCGGCATGTGGGATCTTCCTGGACCAGGACACGGACCCGTGTCCCCTGCATCGGCAGGCGAACTCTCAACCACTGCGCCACCAGGGAAGCCTGGGATGATGGTTTTTAATGCATAAAATGCTGTATATATGTATTTAAATTGATGACAATTTTTAAAGCTAGTTAAGATCTTCCTCAGGGGTATTAAACACCTATAGAATGGTTCATTTTCTTATGACTTTATGGCTAAACAAAGAACAGGGTTAAAAAGTCACTCAAACATTGCAATAATACACTATCTCATACTGAGAGCAAAGACATCAACAGAAACTACCATCTGGTTGTGTTTGGATGCTACATGAGCAAATCTGTCAGCTTTCTCATAGCTTTCTCCTTCATATACCATTGCCATTCTGAACTAACCATTCCAGCCAACATTATGTTCTTTCAGATGTGTTAGCAAAAGCAGTTTAAATTCGATTGTATCATTTTTCAGATGTTAATCAAGCAGTCTGCACCTTTCCATACACAGTTCCTTCCGGAAGATAGAACTTGTCTGAAAGAACAAGGCAGACAGGCCTTGGTCCCTTAATATCTGATTGCCAGCTTGATTTGTTATTTGCCCTCTGGGGAGAAAGATGTGCTATCCAAATAAAATGTGCATGCAGTACTTTTCAGGATATAGCTGAACAAAGAACAACCAGAGAAGAAAAATGGAAGAGTGGACAGCTGCATTTAATCTAGGTTGGCTGTTTAAAAGGGGCTTTTGTTCATGACCATTTATTAAGCAACCCCTTTGAACCAGGTGGTGTAGTAAAGATATCATTGGGATTCTTTCACTATTCTGTTTGGCAGAACTATCTTTCTTCCACTTCCTAGAATGCTCCAAAGTCTTTCTGCCTTCAGAGTCTTCAAAAGCTGTTTCCTCTACCTGAATAACTACTTATCC